TTAATCACAAAAAGGAGGATCTGTATTAATTTAATAAGAACAGGACTGTAGTCAGTGGTTTGCTCACTGTTGATAAAATTCATTTTAAGGCCTGGTAGATATCTTTATTGATGCAAATATAGTTACGCTCCTGTATAACAAAACCAAATGAAGATTTAATTTAACCGTTGAACAGAATTTCGGTGTTATTTGTTTCATGGATTGGTTGTATTTGCATATGCCAAATAACAGTGTGATCAAAGTGGAATATCACTTTAATTGGGAAGGTTATTTGAGAAATTAATAAAAAAAATGTTATAGCATAGATATGGCAGTGTACTGTATATATGTGAATAAATGTGCTTTTAAAAGTGGTTTAGAATTTTAAAAGTGGTTTCCAATTGTTTTCAAGTTTTTTGTACAGAATGATGGCTTTTAAGGTGAATGCCTTTTGCACTGTTACAAAGCTAAATTAAGAGCAATCGACAAATTTTATGCTGCTTTTGGAAGACAAGCTTCTTGGTGCATTCTGTACAAAATGCAAGTTCTTTCTATATAAAATGCAAGATGAAGGAGAAAAAAAGAACATTTTGGGAAGGCCGCTCGATCAAGCATAAAGCGTGATTAATTCAATAGCTACCAAAGATGAAGCAGCCAGGAGCTGTTTAGCAGAAGGTTTGACCCACTTTTAAAATCAGATGTAGACATTGTCATGAGAAATTCTGCTCTTAATAACTGCTGGGATGAATTATTATGTTTTTCCTTGTAAAAATTCGAGTTTGTGGGATTGGTGGTTAAAGTATTAATCCAGTTTATTAAATAGTGTTTCTAAAATATTAAAAAAAATAATATTAATTTGTGCATTATTTAAAATTAAATTAATACAAATTCATACTGTAGGTGTTTTAAAATGATCAAAGTCACCGCCATGAAAATTGTCAAAATTATTGTCAAAATGTAATACTGTATATACTGGACTGCATGTTTCCTTATCAGCTACCTCGGTGATAAAATACAGAAACATAACAGAATTTACATTTTACAAAGGATCTCAGTAGCATGTTTTGTTAAATGCTAAATAAATAACACAATCGTCAATAATCTGTTGTTGATTAAGAGATTTATAAGAAGAAAATATTTTAAGGGACCTTACAATCAGTATTCATCATTTAGATTTAATGTTTAAGAACATTAAGTTAATCTTACGCTTCTGTAAAATAATGAATAAACTGTAGCATATAGTAGTAGATTATTATTTATTTGGAAAATATATGAGCAGTTTTGTGACAATACATATGCTCAGAGTAATTAGCAAATGTAGGTTTACATGAGGCAAAGAAGCTAACAGTAGAGCTTTAGTTTGATTCATTGCTATGATGTCTCTCTTGAAAGTGTCAGAGGAGGTGGTGTAAATGAAATGTTAGCAGTCCTCTAAGTGCCATTGTATGCAACAAAGTTTCAAAGGTGTGAAGCTAACCAACTAAGCCAGAAAAAAAATAAAAGTGCAGGAAAACTTCTTCTTTAACCAATTTTACATATGTAAAGTGTTATCTGGTAGCTCACTTTTTGTCTTAGTTTTCAGCTATGATTACTAACATATACAAATTGAACATACTGTATAAACAGTATATTTCTTCCCATTGTGGCAGGCCAGTGGAGACAGAATGAGTAGCAACAGACTACTCAACAGTATTTAAATTAAAGGTACACAGTCGTTCTTCCTTTAAACGAAGACTGACCATTTGGAGTTCATTACAGAACTGGATATTATTATTCATTCGTCCATTATTCAAAATCTCTGCTTCTCATAGAGAAAGGCTATAAACCCAAATACCTGAATGCAATGTGTTCTGGTTGATTCTTTAATTCTAACCACTAGTTCTGTCAGCAAGCCCTGCTGGAGGGTGTTAACCCAGGATTAGAGGTTTTGTGCAATCTGCGCTCCTCAGGGAGATTTTATGGGACAGCTGGCTGCAGATTTCATCCCCAGACCTCTAACTCTTTTGCCCTGGCAGCTTGGGGTTTGGGATAAGCCTCTAGTTACAATCTCAGTTGCTGAGATTCCTGAGCTTCTCACAGCTCATTTCATTCCACAGCAACACTGGTGCAATGCACTGTTCTATACAGTACATACTGCTAAACACTTTTTAGTTTTTGTCTCGAAACAACAAATAGAACATGAACATACTTCATTCTATACAAATACACACTGTATGTCTCATCCCTGCATTTGTGTACAGACACACCAATACATGTGTTGTGGATTTAATTTGCCATAACATGTTACTTAAAGGGCATCAACATGTATTGAGATAGAGATGAAATGTTTAGCTTAATTTCAATAATTTGTATATTTTGCTTGTATTTATTCTGGCATTACAAACGTTTCTTTCTAATGTGTATTCATAAATTGCTGTAATTTGAAATACATTGCCTGCTGTCCATGGGGGACATAAATAATCATGATTTATTTTCCTTCCTTGTTTGGTTAATGGTTTGCAGAAAATCTCTTACTATTTTCTCTTTATGCCACATTTCTGAAATGTCATTATTTGACTAAAAGACTAAAACACAGTACCTACATTTAACAAAATAAGAAATACAATATGTTCTTAATCCCTTCCAAATAATCCAGTTGCAGTTTATATCAGATGCCATTTATTTTAGTAAATAATTATTTTTTACAGGAGAAAACACAGTGATTATTGATATGGTCTACTCAATATATTGTATGCTAATGCTTGCCTTCACCATTGACTAGATGTACAGTAGTAGATGATTCAGCTACTTTGTAAGTACTGGAGGACAATAGTAGTCATTGCAATTCAGTGCATTTGTTTTAATGGAAATAGTCAATAAGTTCTGTTTTATATAGCATATAATTCTTCAAAAATTATTTTCATTGTGAGCCAATGTGAACCAATGGGGTGCTACTACCCAGGACATCAGCTGCTTGTGTGATGAAGAACAGCCTTTTCTATATGTAGTACCTTTAAATGAATGCCATACTGTATATTTGTTTATGTTGTTATTCCAATATCATAAATAACTGTTTTGTCATCATATTGCAGAGGTCTCTGTTCATAAAATCTGTTATTTTAAGACACAAACATTCTATTTGTTCATTTATTAATGTGATGTTCTGAGAATTCTGTATGTATGCAATCTTTAGGTTATTATAGTGTGCTACAGCATAACCTTATGTTCAATAAAGTGAATTCTTTGTCTGTTCTTTATAGTTTGATCTCAATCATTTGTTTCTTTACACGGAAATCTGACCACTATACTGTAAATCTGCATTTTGTGCAGCTAATGATTCATTGAAATGTACTGGTTTCGAGGTTTCTGTAAGTGAAGAAAAAAGACATTTCAGTTTCAGTGGGGTGCAGTAAGTTGCATATTGAAAAGTAAATTGCAAGGACCTTAAATTGAAATAGTCCAGTTAATTTTAGCCTAATAATTTAATCTGACATCAATACTGTACTTAATTGTAGAAATGCAATATTTAGCTTGATGAGATATGTTTCCATTATTATAAAGTTCTTTAAAATAGAAACAGAGAAATAAAAGATGTTTATTTGCTCCACATTTAAATGTTTCCTGTTTTCTCTTCCTTTCCATTTTCACTATTGTTCTTAATAATAATATTCATAAACTTTATTTTATATAGGTTACACTTTACAGAAGTGTGAACTTTAATGAACTGTGTATTTGTTTAATGCTAATATAAAGCTTTGTATTTAGAATATATAACCACATTTTATATTGCACTTTAATTTATCAAACTTTTATTAGTTCAGATTTTCAAATATTAACCTAATTTCACTTTTTTCAACAGTAAAAAAACATTTCACTAGAACATTTCACTTGACACTCTAGAAAGCCTAATTGTGAAAATTCTTTTATTTCTTTATTTATTTTATGTCATTTAATTTGTTCACATACAGTACTACGCAATCACTGTCAACATTCAACTATTTTAGGTTAATCTATTAACATTTAGTCATATCCTGACCATTCAAAATTAATTTAATATATTTAAGTAGTATAATTTGATAATATACTGTCTTTCTCTCTAGTGCTTTGTATAATTTATTGGTCATTTAAGTTACTGTATCTGTCATTTTTTTTCCTACATCTCCAAACCTAGCATTCTGTATTTATTTTCTGAATTTCTGAAAAAATAATATTTGGATAAAGATCTTGAAACAGAATGAACATAGTACAGTATATAGAGTACAAATATCCCTGAGCAGTATTATATAGTTGTGGAGGATAAGATTATTTTTCACTGAGGAATTTATGTTTTTAAGGTTTAATACTACTAACTTAAAACTGTAAATCTTGGATTCTGAGGTATTTTTCAGAAGAACTGTATTTTATTTAAAATACAATAGTTATACAATACAGATGTATCTACAAATAAATCTGCACTGCAGAATATTTGTGACTAAATCTGTGGATATACTGCATGCTTATTCTAAGCATGTAAGTACATTTTAGGCTAATTCATTGATATTTTAAATGTTTTTGTGGCATAGTTTTGTTATAGTATTGCCTATACTATTTTGAAAAAATGTAAAAACTGCTCCATCTAGTGGCTATAATCAACATTTGACTACTCATTTCTGCTGCATGCGAATAGCAAGAAATACAATACAACTGTCCCTACTACAGAAAATAGTGTAAAACTGACATAATTCTAAATCTGAATAGTGCCAAATTTTATTTCACAAAAAATCCTTTCCACAGAAAGATGTATACAAAGTAAGAGAAATATTTTCAAGTTTTAAAGCTTGTGGATGCTGCGCATTGGTGGTGGTGGGGGGGGAGTCCCCATTATCTGTGAAGCGCTTTGAGTGGAGTGTCCAGAAAAGCACTATACTGTATACTGAAATTGTAAGCAATTATTATAATTACAGTATAATTATTGAATGAAGAAACATGTACCACCATCACTGGAAGATACAGCACATGGAAGTTCTGTGTAGCTTGAAGGAGTTTATCTGTTTCCTCTGTAGGTGACTGGTTGGCTGCAGTAACATCACACGCTTCCTGCCCCTGGGGGACTCCTGTCTCGTAACCACACTCCCTTACCTCAAAATCCAACATGGAATCCAAAGTCTCAGAAGGCGGACTGAATGTCACACTTACCATCCGTCTGCTGATGCATGGGAAAGTAAGGATATGTTTTCGAAAATTAACTCTTGAGACTAATACTGTATAATAATGATTGCAAGGAGTTTTCCCATGGAGCCTTGTTGCATTTTCCTTCAATGCCATCCTCTTTATGACTCTGTGATTCATCACCATTAGCTTTGTGTGAATCCATTTAAAGTCATTGAGCCCTGTGGGTCCAGTCTACTATACTGTAAAGGATTCATTATACTCTATACTGTAGATTACTATTGTATACAGGTATATTTCATACAGTATAAACAGGCACCATATATAAATCAAACATTAATATATAAAAATATCTTGCCTGTCTGTCCATCTGGCTGTATAATTTATAATTTTAACCACTTATAAAATATCTTTCCTATAGCTTGTATTAGGTTTTATTTTCCTGGACTTTTTTCCTACATTTTCCCAAGGGTATTGTCATACTATGTAAAGTAAAAACTTTCCCCAAAATACTGTGTATACAGTGACTGCAAAAATTCCAACTCGAGTATTCTGTAGATCTAAAGAAAATACTTCTCTGAGGTAGTGTTGTTTAACTAGTGCAATATTTCAACATACAGTATTATATTCTTAGTCCATTTTAAGGATAAATTGAATTATTTATTTGTGTACAACTAGAGGTGTAACCTTGCTGTAAATAATTAGCCTGTTATATAGAATATTTGTGGCTGGTAAGAGCTGGAGGAATTAACTAAGCATTTATTTAAAAAAATCTCTTTATAGATTTACCTACTGTAGAAATACCTAAACATATATTTTTCCTTTATTATAGGAAGTTGGAAGCATTATTGGAAAGGTATGTAAGGTTTACATTCATGGTTAGATCATAGAATAAGATCAATTAAATTTCTTAACACAATTATAATTATCTGCATGATTAAATAAAACAAGTTGTGAGAGGTGGATAATTTAGTGATTTGAATTTCAAACAGAAACCCATACTTAAAGTGTCTAAATGTGCTTCTTTGTTTCAGAAAGGTGAAACTGTGAAGAAAATGCGTGAGGAGGTAAGTATGTTTTGATATTTTGCCCAGATTGGTGTGGAATTTTAAGTCAGTAAATTTTTTGACAGAATTTAAGAGTAGTATTCTTGAGGTGTTTATCAAGTATTTGATTTTCTTCAGAGTGGGGCACGCATCAACATCTCTGAGGGAAATTGTCCAGAAAGAATTGTAACCATCACTGGCCCTACAGATGCAATATTTAAGGCTTTTGCAATGATTGCTTACAAATTTGAAGAGGTATGCTAATTTCTTTATTTATTTGGGTTTTGAAAAGGTCACAGTTATTTTTCTATAGTTATTATTTTCTATAGATAGGTATGCTCCAGTCAACCTACACATTACAAATTACATGCTCATCAATTCATAATATCTTCCTTTCTGTTTGCTAGAAGCAAATACTAAGTTGTATTTTCAGGGAAGAATCATTGAATAAGACAGCCTTTTGTGGTTGTGCATAGTTGCCTCATGTCTTATTTGAGAGAACAAAACATGCTTTTTGATAAGTTTAATATTTGTTTTATTTAAATGAATTGAAAGAAAATGCAAAGTAATCCACACAGAAAGAAGGAACATATATTCTATGCATCGCATTCAGAGCTGCAGGAAGCTATGCCTGAAAGGTTTACAGGTGTTTTGCAGATCTTTTATGTCATTATCAAGACAGTGTAGGGAAATGACTGCTGAGCTTGGAGATACAGTACCACTTTTTTCTCATTAGCTCAGGTCTAAATCTCTTTTATATACCTAGACATATCGAGCTGCCCACAAATGGCACACAATGTACAAGAGACCTATTAGTTACTATAAATACAGACCCAAAGCTACAAACAGGTGTTTTGCCTATTAAACATGAAGGAGATGCTAATTTGTTTTTTTAGTTTAATGAAGAAAGCATTCCAAAAGGTCTCATTGATTTGCAGGATATAATCAACTCCATGAGTAACAGCCCTGCCACCAGTAAACCTCCAGTGACCCTGAGACTGGTAGTGCCTGCCAGTCAGTGTGGTTCGCTGATTGGAAAAGGAGGATCCAAAATAAAAGAAATCAGAGAGGTAACCCTGATGGACCATCCCTAAAGGTTGTTAGCATTTTGGGAAATGTCAAATAGCTTGTTATAATTTACTTGGCCATTTAGATTATAAATGTTCTGACTAATCAATACAGTATGTGCATTACCTCTGCATCTCATGTTTCCATGGATAGGAACTCCAGCTCTAACTACTGTAAAAAGAAATGTGCTATTCCCAGGTCATTTATGGTTTCACTGGCTCAAGACCAAAAGTAAAGCAATTGAAAATGTAATTATACTTTTCATGGTTTATTTAACAAATTAATTAAATGATTTAGTAAAACTTAATAGTAAAAAATATAGAAACCATTATAATAGCTGGATTGTCAACAAAGACATTCTGACAGTAAATTTAAGATCCATGCAAATTCCATTTGCCATTTCCCATAGCCTTCTCCCTTTTATGGTAACTGGAAGAGACTTACAGTATTTGATATTTCTCGCTCTCTCAGTCTACAGGAGCCCAGGTTCAGGTGGCAGGGGATATGTTGCCAAATTCAACAGAACGTGCAGTGACAATCTCTGGAACCCCCGATGCCATCATTCAGTGTGTTAAACAGATATGTGTGGTCATGCTGGAGGTAGAGTATGGTGGAAAATGTACAGTATACTGTACCATCGCGATAATAAAACTCAATGGGGAATGCATGGAGTAACATAGTATAACACCTGCACAAATTTGGTTGATTTTGTGAAAATATCAGATGTCTGCAAAGTGGCTGTGTTTTGAATTGTATGAAATGCTGTATATGACCTTTCAGTTTCTCATTTTGTACTGTATATACTGTACAGCTCGGATGCAGTTTTTTGATTGATAGCTTGTAGAGGAGATAACCTATATCAATAGATCTTCTGCCTGGTTGCTATGGTTGACATAAAGTACATGTTAGAAAGCAAAAAGCTTAGTAATTAAACCCAAGGCATATCCTGAACTGTTTTGTAGCAATTTGGAAACAGCAATTAAAATAATTGTACAATAATCTGAAAACAATAACAAAATAATTTTGACCTAGCTATCTAAATTTGGGTGAAATGGTTGTGATGAATTAAAAAATGTTAATATTTTCTGCACTTCCATTTCTAAGTGGCACCAATTCACTGGGCTGTATTTCACAGTTAGATAGAAGGCTGGAGTTATGCTATACCTTCTGTGGAAATCAAACCCTTTGGCCCCTTCCTAGTGGGACTTTCAATATTTTTTAAAAGAAAAATATTTATTTCAAGAAGGAAACAATAACCAAGTCACAGGTAAGATTAACTGCACAAGAACCGCAGGTCTTCTTAGTTGAATACCTAATACACCAAACTCCTAACCTAAGCACGATAAACATCCTTGGCCCAATCCTGGTTTATTGCCACTGAGTTGTGTTTTCACTGGTGTCTCTGCTGTTGCTTGTTCTGTTTAAGGATCCGGCTCTAATGCTGTCTCCGCCTCTCCCTGTTCCCCTCTCCTAGTCCCCACCGAAAGGTGCCACCATTCCCTACCGCCCAAAGCCCGCCTCCACCCCCGTCATTTTTTCAGGTGGCCAGGTAAGAGCCGACCCACTGGCGGCGTCCGCAGCCAACCTCAGCCTTTTACTGCAGCACCAGCCACTGCCTGTTAGTTCACTCAGGTTTTCTCACCTTCTCACTCGCATGTCCAGCACCCAAGAGAAAAGTGAAAAGCTTGAGGGAGGAACCTGGTTATGAAGGACCATTTTGCACTGAAGGTTTTCAGGAAGGGTTCTGGAGCTCAGAAGGTGTTTCTTTTGGTCAAATATGCTCTTCTAAAAGGGGATCTGTAGAAATGTCAGTATTCCTTAGAGTGCTGGCTTTTCTCTGATAAACAGGGATTGAGACAAGTAGGGTCAAATAGCCTGCTCACATTGGTCACCATTTTTATGTTCATATTGTATAATCCAAAAAGGTTTGAGACCTGCAATCTTTTCTGTAGATATTACAAAGGGAAGCTGGTACAGTACCATGTCATTTAACAAAACCCTAAACTCCTTTCTAAGTATTCAAATTATGAAACCCAGACAAAGTTGAACAAACAAGCTTTCTTTAGATAGATTATTCATGTACTGTATTAAAAAAATGTACTTACTAATAAAGCTATTGTAAACCCTGTCATAAAATTTACATTTCTGTTAAGATATTTTGCTATTAAGCAAGTCATGAGCATTAAAATCAGAAATACAGAAATTAGCCTTCAGTCAAAATTTGTGAAACCTCACTCCTGACATTGGTTCAGTCTACACCTACATAAGGATCCACACAAATTAATTAATATTCTTGTTCTTGAAACCTTAGATCATATTCTTTTAATGTGCACCAATTAGAAAAGGTGTTTGAAAACAATTACAGAAATTCCTACATTTCGAGCTGTTTCAGCTAATACATTAACCTAAATTTAGTTAACAAATTGTGTGTTTGAAGTTGCCAGTCTTAGCATTACCAGCCTGACTTTATTCCAAATTGAAAGCATTTTTCATCCAGCATGTGATGGGTGATTTCATAAAGGCTTCGAATTTGGTGTTGACTTTAATTGTTACCTCATTTGTATCCATGGATAAAAAAATTAAAAAACACAATTTACATTTTTTCCTTTCTCAAAGACTTAACCCAAATTACATTTTTATGCTATTCAATTGCAGCACGATGATGGTTAACTCTGTGTTTTACAGCTCTTGGGTTCTGGGCTCAATTCTGGTCTGGTGTGCTTTTTGTGTAGAATAGCAGGTTCTCTCCTTATAGCCTAGCTTTTCTCTGGGTGCACCAATTTCTTCCCATCTTCCAAAGCTGACTAAATTAACTGGTGTCTCTAAATTGTGTTTGTACTGTATACTGTATATGTTTATCTTCCATATGTATATGTACAATGGTAAGTAAATACATCCCATGAAAAGGTTTGTCTTTTTTTTTCCCATTTTTGGACAAAAGGATATTTGATCGTCATTTCAACAATACTGATAGATAAAAGTGATCTGATTTTAAAACATAACATTAAAAAATCACACTTTGACCTCATTTGTACTATTTAAATCAATAGAAAGGCAATTTCCTTGTGTGGAAAAAATTAGTACACCCCTACCTTTATCATTGCATCAAATGGCTAAAATTTGAATTAGGTGCACCAAAACAGGTGCAAATGATTAGAACATCCTTAGAGTGTGTAGGGAAAACCGGTTCAGGGACGCCAAATATGTAATCATAGTGGCTCTCTGAAGGCACCAGTTCTGTAGGGTTTGGGCATTTACTGAGACAATTA